AGTTACTGATAAAAGAAACAGTTGTACCAGTTACTGATAAAAAAACTGGTCAATATTGGTCCAGTTTTATTCAGTTTTATATTGATCAGTAACTGATGGAACTTGTATGCTGTTCCGTTGATCAACCGAACAGCATACAAGTTCTATCAGTTACTGATCAATATAAAATTGAATAAAACTGGACCAATATTGACCAGTTGTTTTATCAGTAACTTGTTTCAATATACTGATCGTGCTATATATCATCAGTTACAATAATCAGTTATCCAGTCAGTGCCCAGTTGTCACTGTCAGTTCAGTTTCCTTTCACCAGTTCTATAAACTAGCCTTTGACAAATAAGAAATCTGCTGTATATCAATTGAAGAACATAGGTAATCAGTATCTAAGAAACCATAAAAAAAACTAAGGACCAGCCATCAGTTACCGATAGTAACACTTATTGTTAGTGTCTGACTAGTTTTTTAGATTAATATAAAAACTGATTATTAAAACTGGGTGTCAACTGAAGAATATAATCAGTATCTGACAAACCGATAAAAAAAAACTGAGGACCAGTCATCAGTTACTGATGGCAACACTCAGTGTCTAACCAGTTTTTTAGTGTATTGTAGAAACTTATTATTAAAACTGGAAGTTAACTGAAAAGCATTACCAGTAACTGACTCTCGTAATCAGTCACTGATAGAACGTCACAAGTTACTGATTCAACTTGATCAGTTACTGGTACAGCTGCTCAGTTCTTTTTCTTAAGGAAAACATAAAACAACACGAAGTATGCGCGTCTATCAAAAAAGAATTGTTTAATTAACTTGGAAATATTTTGTCCTGTAAAAAATATTTCTATTTTCTCTACAAAAGTAATGATATAAACAAAGTGCACCAACAATACGAATAGAAAATTTATTATTTTATTATTATTCTATTAAAATCCAAAGTTATATCCAACAACACTATAAAGTTATATCCAAAAAAGGGAATATAAATACATTATTTATTTTAATTTTTACTTTTTAATTATTTTATATTATTTTATCTTATTTATTTATCGTATATTTTGATATTACTTTATTATTATATGATTATATTTATACTTTTTATATTATTACTTAACTGACAAATATTTTTAATATTGACTATAACTGACTATAAATTTATTTTACAAAATTTTATTGCGAAAAATGTACGCGAGACACTACCGCCTGTATTTTGACAATACAAACCTTTTTCAAGAATAAATAACATTATGCCTGTAATACATATAATAATCATAAATTAGAAACAATTTGCATACTTACTTTGTTCACAATCGTAGTTTGGTTCTGGTACTTTCGTCTTCTGTGACATTGATGGAACGTGATTATTAACATTGTCATCATCCTCACACAATTCCTCTGTGGTACAATTTTGTTTTCGTAGATCTAAATTTAATATTACCACAGTACTATTTTAATATACTTTTTACATCGATTTATTTACCTACCTACCTACACATACACACACACACATACACACAGACAGACAGACAGACACACATAATATTCAATGTTACATACTAAAGATCCCTTACCATTACTAGAGGTCAAGCTTTGACTTGCTAGAACGTTATCTTTATCCAACCAGTAGTTATTTTGAATACGTAGAGTATTTGAAAATAATAAAATAATATATATATTATTTATTTATGTTTAGATAAACATGTAAAGTTATAAATTTATTGTGCAAATCGCAATTTAGTTTAAAAAAATAATACTTACGAGGATCTTTTTTTCCTACATTGTTTAATGCAGTAGTATTTGCGACTAACTTTGAAGATTTTTTATTTACCTTATGTATGTAATTAAAACTTGAAAATTGTACAATATGTTATTCAAATATCCTATTATTTTTCATATTAATGCTTTTTAAAATTCTTACTTTCTTGTGAATCTTTTGATGATTGCTTGATATCATTAAGAGATCTCTTAATCATAGTTTTGGACATTTTTGGTACTTTTGGAATCTCAGATATAAAACTGTCATCTGACAACTCATCATTGCTACTCATAGATGTGTCCATAACTTTAGCGGCTCTATTTTTTCGAGATTTTTTAAGATATTCTTCTTTTTCAGTGTTAGAAGTAAGATCAGACTCTTCTTCGGCTTGTTTTAACTTTTGTCTTGCCACTGCATAATTCACTGTAACAAAATAATATAATCGTAATAAAAACATACAATTGTGCTGTTATTATTAAAAAATAACAAACACATTAATGTCACATATGGAAAACTAACAATAATAGATACATATGAGAAAAGAACATAATATTACTTACAATATGTTCCATATATTTTTCGGATAGGACATATTGACCATGTAGAATCCGGCTCCTCCATTACTTTTGCCGCTTTATCATGTCTAGTAGTACTAGTGTAATTAGGCCAAAAGGCTTTCGTTAGGTCTTTAGTCAACCAATTCTTTGGCACTACTGAAAGTCCATCTTCAAATTCGACAACGGTGTACATATTCAACGTGCTGGCCATTCTATTTCAAAACATTATATATTGGTATGTATCAATGGATAAAATTGCATATTTGTCATTTTCGTATGGCAACTTCACATACTTTCTGATAACAGTTTTTAATGGCCACGATTTCAAATCTGAATATGATTGTACAATATAAATTCCTAGTAATGAAGATGGACAAGGAATATTATATAGATCTTGTTTTTCTAAAAATTCACGAACTATAATAACCGATATATGTTGCTTCGTACAGTGTGCTATATTTTCTATAGATACAATAGCTCCACACTTTAAGCCACAGCAACTGTAAGCAAGTGTCCCAGCTTTCAACGTAATTCCGTTGTACTTTACAATTTTATATTGCGGATTGCTGCAATTGGCAACAAGAGGACCATCAAAATGCAAATTTGTTAAACTTGGCTTTCAGGCTTTCGCGGCTGTTGTCTTCTTTAGTTGTCATGGCTTCCGGATGGTTGCCGCGTCCGTTTGCAGTGTGGTGCCGACGTTTCGCAGGCGTTGCAGTCTGCTTCATCAGGGCTGGGAGACTCTGATACTGAGCTCCCTCGCGTTGCGCTAGTCCTTTTATACTCGTTCTTGG